TTTTTTTTTTTTTTTTAATTTTTAAATGAAATATTCGTTGGAAATATTCTCTCTTCGTATGGACGTAATTTATTGTTTATTATTCTTAAATATACTAAATTTTTCCTATTTTAACACGTTTAGTATAATTTATGATTTATGTTATTGTTACAATGATTATAGGTTGGAGATTTTCAATTTTAATTAGGATTTTTAAAATACTAATCTCTGATTAATTGATTGGACGTAGGAAAACTCATAAATTTGTTTCTCTTCTTAAGTAAACTTCAACTTAAAAAAAAGAGGATAAATAAGAAGGAATTAGGTAAAAATATTTGAACGTAGTCCAATATGCACTTTAAAGGAAAGTGGTAAAACTGGAAAATGGTGGTATAGTAAAAAGTAGAAAAATAAACTATAAACTCGTTTATAGTATCGATTGGAATACCAGACAGTGATATATTGAAATGTAACATTTAATAGTAACTACGTATTGCACAAATCTTTCACTAACTGTAAGATTGTGTATCAACCAGTTTCAAAATTTAATATAAATTCATAAATTATCGGGAATTTTTAGAAGTGAATGAAAAATTATAAGTATGAATAATTAGAGTGAAAAATAAAAACAATAAAAATTTGGATTTACTTGATTGAGTGGTGCCTTCGATCAAACCCATATCGTGGGTAATAATTTGTCCCCATTGCATTGCCACCAGTGTCCATATAGGATCATCTATGTTGACGTTTGGAAATAACGTGTAGCTGACCATTCGAGCAAGTGGTAATTGTGATCCGGTTATTGATCTCGTAGGTGATTGTATCCCTGTAGAAATTGTGATTCAGTAAATAACAAAGTTTTTAAGAAAATAAAAGAGACAGGAAAATTATCGGATTTTCTTGGATTCTTATTCCTTAAATTATTCCTTTATTTATCTGATTGATAAATTTATTTATTTTATCTTTATTAATGATAAATGTGTTATTTATATCGTTTCGTTTTAAATTTTATAATTATATTAGAAAGAAAAAAATTAAAGATTTATGAATGTGAATTTAATAAATAATGTCGAAAGTAGGTGGTGTTTATTTTCTTTTTTTCGCTTATACGAACGAAACTCATAAATTAATCAGTTAATCAACTTTGCACGAATAACATAAATTTCAAAAATACTAATTTATCTTTAGAAAGTCGAATAATTGCAAAATTTGTTTATCACAAAATTTCCACATTCACTGACTATTATATAATAAATGCATTTATTATTCCATTTGTTATTCCAATATTGATATTTCTATGATATTCTATGGTGGTATTACAATTTTTCTGCTCTCATGTTTTTTCATTCTATAATTGGAAATATTAAAAATGTCAGTGAGAAGATTAAGATTATGATTATCATATGTGAAATTCTTTTCTTGAACTTGATTGCTGTAGATATATTTCTTCTTTGAATTTTAAAAAAATAATAATTTTTATATGTTTCTACATATAAAAACTTTCTATATTATTACATATACATATCTGTTTTCCTGATTTTTATCTATAATCTTTTTAGAAATTGTAGAAACATATTCTATAAAAAAATGTTTGTTGCGTTAGATAATTGGCAAGTTTCTAAAGAAATCACTAGAGGATTGCATATTATCAAACTATTATCTATACACGTTTAACTTTTTAAAGCAGCAAATAAATGTCTCTTAATTAAAATATCGGAATAGAAATGAGAATTCTATAATTCTCAATAAAGGTTATTATCAAACAAAACTCGTATGATTTTATCCTAATCTCTGATTAATTGATAGAATGTAGAAAAACTCATAAATTTGTTTCTCTTCTTAAGTAAACTTTAACTTTAAAAAAAAAAAAATAAAAAGGAATTAGGTAAAAATATTTGAACGTAGTTCAATGTGCATTTTAAAGAAAAGTGATAAAAAACTGGAAAATGATGGTATAGTATAAGAAAAGTAATGAATTTAGAAGCAACGTTTAACTGCACGCGTTAATTTTTACACATGAAAACATGTTAATATTATAAATTAGGTATCGAACAGGTGTTCACATTTGATATCGAGTGTGCACGATTAAAGTTAGAAAATTAGAAGCGAAGGGTTGCAGAATGAGATTGCAAGAATGTTACAGATCGATTGCACATTGCTCACGAATGTTACAAAGTTTCGAAGTCCGTAAAATAGCAAATTAATTCCTACGTGACCGTGTAAAACCACGGTTCAACTACGTATAATATTGAAACAAGTTTTTGTGAAAGTCGGTATTTGTCATGGGGGGGCGTAACTGTTGGTTACGACAGGATTTTACGAGATTTTTGCAGCATGTTGTTGAAAGTGGAAGGGAAATGCCTGATTTGATCAAAGGGAATAAGTGCAAATTGCACTTATCTAAAAGATGAGATAAGAATAGAAATATTTTTGCACTTACTTGTCCAAAGCACGCGTTTTATTAAAAATAAAAAAACTTATTTTATTCAGCTCATTTTCCATATTTCTTTTCCATATTTCTTTCTTAAAAATTAAAAAAATAGAAAGAAGTTAATTTTTCTAGCTTTCCAGGTTCTAATTTTGCAATTTGCACGTAAAGAATATCTGATGATTTGAGATCGAAAAATATCTTGATTTCAATTTGTACTTCATATTATTATTATTATTATTATTATTATTATTTCGTATTATATTACTTCACATTCAATTCTAGAACTAGATGTTACAAAACGATTATAATCAATCTATTGTTCCATTTTTTTTTTTTGCGTCACACTCGCTTATTCTACTTATAAAAGAAGTACGCTTATCTGAAATCTCATTTTTCGTTGTGTTTTTCTTTTTTTTTTTTTTTTTTTTTTTTTGAGCATTATAATCAACGATTGTTAATAATTAAGTAATCAAGATTTCGTCTCGTCAATTAGAATAAAATTTTAGATCCGATTTTATCATGATTAATAGTTAAGAGGCTAAGACAAAAGACTCTTTTTCAACCATTGCGCGCAATACAGAAGATATCAATCTGGTAACTGTTGATTTTGCATAATAATCCAATTAACACCGTATGTAATAACGTAGAACGATTCTGCTGAAATTCTTTCTCGTTTTATTAGCAAGGGGAAACGAAGCGTAACCTCTGGTGGTAGAATTATATCTATCTACATCGGTCCAAATAAATTTTCTATTTACATTGACGTGCAATCTCTGTTATGTTAAAAAAGAAATTTTTTTTTTTCTTGCTTTCTTTTTTACAACGTAGAAAAAAAACGAATCGATCCTTGACGCAGTTCTACGAATGAAAATGTTTTATATAATTTGATTTTAACATCTTGTAGTTTTTTTTTTTTTCTAGCGATAAATCAGTTGTTTTTTTTATATTTTAATTGTACTTAATTTTTGTAGAAATTTATTGCGAAAAAAAGAATAATAATATTTGCTATTTTTCTTCTATAAAATATTATACTCTTTTTCCAATTTCATTCGTCATCAAAAATTTCTTATTGCATGGTTCGCTTTCTGCAACCACAAATATAAATTTCTGTTTAAATTTATTTATCGATTCGATTCGAAATGAACCAATTCATCTTTTTTAATTTTTATAGAAAAAGTTGATTCTGTATACATCCAATTTGATTTGTTTTTTTTACGAACGAATTAATAACGAATATAGATTGTAATAACATGTAAAAGAAGAAAATATATAGTATTATAAAGGAAGAGGAAAATTTATTAGTTAGAGATAATTTACATAATCAGTTCGAAAAAGATGTGACAGAAAAAGATCTTTTTAATATCGTTAAAACTTTTTCGAAATATTCGCTGCATACTTTGATACCTTGAGAGAAATCGATCGAGAAAAACATGGTTGTGTCATATACTACAATAACAAAGTGTTAGTCGTGTATAATTGTTTGTAGTTAAATAAAATCTTGACTTGTTTGTTAAAACGAATCGGATTGTAAAGAGTGAAAGTGGCATTCATTCGGTCAATTTTATATTGATTACGGAAGTAATTTTTCTCGATTGTAAATGACGATAAAAATGATTGGATAACAGGAATGCGTAATGCGAAAGGTATATTTTTACAATTTAATTTAACGTTTCATTTGTCGAATTTAGCGTGTAATAATAAAATCATAATCTTTCTTTCTAATAATAAAATAAAGATTTAAACGTTGCAATTTTAATTAATTTCCTTCTGAAACGACAAAGATTGTATATTTCGTATATTTCAATTCATCGTAATTAAAAAATAATAATGGAAATTTGTTTATTATTAAATTTTTTATTCCTATATTCGTGCTCATTCACATTTAAAAAAGAATTGTACCTCTTTGTTACTTTATTACTATCTAATCTTATCTCATTGAAGCTTGAGAGAGGAAGGGGGAATACTTTTTAGAAAAGAATCATTCTTACCGTCTCCGTAATTCGCCGGCAAAAGTCGTCCATATCTCGTGTTTGCCATACCCCACGTGGGATTGTTCAAGTTGTTACACGAGCCATCGTACGTTCGATATCTTGCCTTTTCACAATTACGGGGAAACGAGTCCCCGCATCTAATCTCTTGGTGAATATTATTCGTTAAGTTTTCTCTAAAATCGAAGAATATATTTCATCAGAAACGAATAATGAACAGTGAATGCGAATAAAATTATCTTACACTAAATTTCTTGCCATAGTTCCATTTAATGTAATGTACAATATAATATGCAATTATAATAATAATATATATTATTATTATTATATAATATATAATATTAATATATAAGAATAATATAATTGTATTATTCTTTGAACCTACCTGTTATATGGAAAAGTAGAAAATGTTGGAAAAATAGAGAACGTATACAATATATAATATATATATAATATATAAGAATAATATATTGTATTATTACCTGTTATATGGAAAAATAGAAAATGTTGGAAAAGTAGAAAACGTCTGATAAGGAAATGTATTGTACGCATTTTCGAACGCATTCGTATAAGCAAAATTATAACTAGTTTCCGATCCCTCTAAATCTGACAGTTTCTTCTCTGAAAATAAAAAGATATTATACATATATCGTACGAATCACCTGTGATCTATAACGGAAGTAAAACTTTCGATAAATCGAGATATTTATCCATAATTCATACATAAATTATCGCAATTATAAATTCAAAGATACTTATAAGAAATTCTTAAAAAATTTCATACAAATTTGAAAAGAATCAGATCATTGAATCCACTGAAAAGAAAGAAAGAAAAAAAGAAATGATTTTCCAAACCCTTCCGAAGATATTATACATATATCGTACGAATCACCTGTGATCCATGACGGAAATAAAACTTTCGATAAACCGAGATATTTATCCATAATTCATACATAAATTATCGCAATTATAAATTCAAAGATGCTTATAAGAAATTCTTAAAAAATTTCATGAAAATTTGAAAAGAATCAGATCATCGAATCCACTGAAAAGAAAGAAAGAAAAAAAAAAAAATGATTTTCCAAACCCTTCCGAATTTGAATGTCCTTCTCCTCCCTTTGCGCTGCAATTAAGTCACGCGCTTTCGATCCGCTTACCCAACTCGTTTACCCGGAACCGTGGCACCCGATGCGTAACCGTTTCAATCTAATTGGAATAAAGGGATATTTATGCCGTTTACCACCGTCAACAGCGTTGTCACGTATTGCGCGCAGAAGAACTCCACCATTTTCCCACGAGAGAAAAGATAAAGGTAACACGACGCTCCTCTCAAAGATTTCCACGCGCGATCAAGAGCGTGCTTATTCAATGGAAGATTTTTTTTTTTTTTTTCAGGATCGGTTACGTTCACCGTCGAGGTACCAATGTCGACGTAATAGATCGTGAAACACGCTCGTTTACCACGAGCCGATGCCTTTCACCGCTTTCAGCCGGAACGATAAATGTTATACCAACGAGACAGATCTTATCGATGTGACCGCGGCCAAGTCGGCAAATGAAACGAACCTAACCGGGCCGAGTACGCCCGCTACATCGTATATATTCGATATTCCAAACTCTTGGACCAGAATTCGAATTTCAATCGTTTTCAGGGTGTATATAGCGTTGGACCGGGGCCAAATTGCTCGCGTGCTGTTATTTAGAGAGTTACGTGTTACATAAATGGCCACGTGCCCTGTGATCGGGTTTCCGATTCGGGTTTTTCATTCGATTCCCGATTCCTTTTATTTGCGCTTACTTTTTTCGCCGAACCGAACGAATAACGATCTTGATCCAAGTGTAAAATTGAGATTTTTTTATTTTTTTTTTCTTCCTATTATTACGTGGAAGTATTTCCTTTGGAATATGTTATGAGTTGTCGTCGCGAGGCCAAAATTGCATCCATCGATATTTTATCGTATATGGTATAAGTGAAACTTGAAATGAAAAATTATAGGCAACGAAGAGAATAAATGAAGTTTAATTGTACGAGAAAAAACGAGCCGTCAAAGCGAGTCGGCAAAGGAATTCGTTTGAGAGTAATGCCTTTCCGGTTTTGATGTTTATCGAGGAGTGAGAGAGAGAGATTCTTTTTCTGAACTTGCCACTTGATAAATCAATCGACAAACGTTCGTAATATGATATGACATCATATAATCGTATCATTTTATCGAGATATTATTTTATATATATATATCTGTGACTTAATACAAGAAGAATCAAGTCAGTATTTATGAAGTTGAGATATTAGTATTTGAAGATATGTTCGAATAATTTTTGCTGTCTCCAATTTCTTTTTGTGGTACGAAAAGAGGGAATTAGAGTTTTTTATATAGAAATTTCTTGCAAAAATTTTACATTAAACCACCCTTTCTATATAGATACAAGAAAGTATAGAGATGTGAAAAGTGTGAAAACTATTATATATTTCCAAAATAATTCAAGGAAAAAATATAAAAAAAAGAAAGAAAAAAAAGTCAAAGAAAAATCTGGATCGATAAGGGGATCAAAATTAACCATTTTCTTTCCTCGTCTCCTTTCAAACTCGAACGATCTCACACACAGTCGTATTTCGATATCTGTCACCAGAATGTCTCTCAAAAATATTATTAGGACACCTGCCAGTACAGACACACGACCATTTTCTACCTCGTGAACGATTTCTTGCTA